AATTCAAATTTTCAAAATTGTTTTTCTAAAACTATCTTTGAGATTTAGCATCAAAAAATATAATGTGTGTAACTTTTAGCAAGTTTATCTCAACGAATTATTAAAAGAATTATAAAAAAATTCTTCAGCCTCTTTTTTTCTATTTTAACCCAAAAAAATCATCAATAAGCACCATGTTGTTCGCAGTTTAAAAAAATGATAAAAACAGTTTGTTTTCAAAAATTAGCTTAGAACAAGCAGTTTTCAGACCTTATCTGTAAAGTTTGGGGCTAGCTTAGTACTCCAAGTAAAAAAAAATCTAACTAAGGGGGCTCCACTATCACACTCACTTGTGGGAAAATACACTAAAGAGACAAATATAACTGTAATTGAATTTTCATAATTACCATTTCAGATTTCAGTTTTTCGAGTTTTGTTGGGGCATCTTGATCCAATTCCAAGGCTTTTAAAGTTGAAGTGGACACATTTGACAATTCCTTTTCTAATTTATTCAAATTGTTGAAGGAGCCAACTGGTGTTATTTCACTTTCTTCAAGTAGGATGCTTTGTCTGGTGACATTTGCTTCAGTTTTTGACTTTTTCGTTGAACGTCTTTTGAAGGATCTTCTCGCAATGTCATTACCTTCTACAAATTGGGCTAAACTGCAATATTTCGCCGGTTCATTTTCGATTTTATCATCTAGATACACGTGTTGTGACATAAAGGCACGATTTTCAAATCCAAATTGCGTGTCTTCCTCCAGTTTGCTTCTGGAGTTTCTTCGTTTCTTGTCCAAAGAGTCCCTTTTCGCGCTCATTCTTCTCTCGAGTTTTAGATCGGGCAAATCGCTGGTGAAAAGTGTCGTGTCGTCGGTGATGCTGTCTTGGTCATATCCGTACATCACTTCGCCCAACATGGAGCTTATGTCGTCCATGAGAGACTCGCCATGCAAGGCGTCCGAATTCGGATAAGTGTCGGTTTCGGGAGAGTCTATGTGACAAATGTGGCCGTTGAGATCTTCTCCGTCGCTGTTTTTTCGCGGACAAAATGATTTCTGGTCCAGGATTTCCGATGTGATGCTGACTTCTTCGTTAGAAATCGCTGATAATATGCTACTGCTTTCTTTCTCTTCCTCCTCGTATTTTGTACTTTCGCGTCGTTGTTTGTCATGACTTAGGGGTACCTCCGGTTCGTTGGTTTTTAAGTTGCCTATGGAGATCAGTGTTGAGCAAGTTTCGCGAAGGATTTTCTCCGTCGCGATGTCCACCATACTACTGAAAATTGACGATAAGGGTCCACGAAAATTAAAAATTTCAGTACAATTCTTTCAAATTTCAAATGAAAGTAAAAAAGTAGACGTATTTAAAAAAATTGATAAATTTGCTTTTGTTCATTATTATTATTAAACATTTTGAACTATACTTTGTGTAAAATGTCTTGAGACGTCGATTGATGTCGAGAAAACCGGAAAATTTCTGATGGTTTATGCGTTGTTGACGGATATAGTTTTTGCTCGTAGTTACTATTTAATGGTTTTGGTAAAATAGATAAATTTGCTTTTGTTCATTATTATTATTAAATATTTTGAACTATACGTTATGTAAAATGTTCCGAGAAGTCGATTGGTGTCGAGAAGACCGGAAAATTCCTGATAGTTTAAGCGTTATGGAGGAATATAGCTTTTGATTATTATTACCTAATTCAGCGATTTTTAGTAAAACCAGCGTCCAAAATTGAACTATT